CAGGAAGGACCTCATTGATGCCAAATCACCCAGTCTAGCCCTTCCTCCAGGCTCGGCCGGGTGACAGACTGTGCAAACTAAGACCCCATTGTTCTCTTATCACCAGTACTCAGAATGTGCCTTTCAATACATGTTCCAACTCTGCATGTTTCCACCTCCCTCCTCCATGTTAATCCTGTAGAACCCACCCCTTTTCTGATGTAATCGTGATGTAGCAATGATGTAGTGATGATGCTTTTGAACTGTATCTGGGGTAATGGTGGGAAGTTTTAAAAGTTCATGTCACCCCATCCTGGCGGTTCAATATTGCCTTGAACCTGTTGCGCAATAAACGTGGATCTTCTCCAACTTGCTCCAGTCTCTGGCTGCGCTCCTTTTGTTCCGCAGGGACCCGCGGACTCAGTCCGACGAGCTGGGTGGCAGAGCAGCCTCACACCTAGATTTTCCGTAACAAGGTCTTATAATATACAATAAATGTTCATAAATTTACCAACCAAGCGCATACATAGATATGTCAACCACATGTCTGGAGCAGCTCAGGAAGACCGTCCTGAAACCATTTTGACTCCCTAACTGACCAAATGTTTTCTCTGCAAGGAGGGAGCGGGTGAGGGAACCTTCCCATTGTCTCAGGAATTGGGAAATCACCATCTCAAAGGAATGGCCAGACTACCAGGAAAGGGAATCAGATAAGGCATTATCAGATAACCTGGCAGACAGGAAAAACAACAACATTCAAATTTCTGTTGTAGACCGCCTTTTCTGTGATGTAGGTATGATTTTTGTAGTAGGTGGTCTTGGGTTACGCCCCTTCTGTGATGAATGCAGGGGTGGTCTGGAGCTCCAGGGCAGGGAATTTAAAATGTCTATATAAGGGCTGGCACGCCTTGGTTTGGGGTCCTCCTCAGGGGAGCACCCTGTTGCAACAGATCAATAAAGATCAGGCTTACTAGCTGCTTTGCTTCTCAATAGTCTCTGGTTGCCTCTGCTCTTTTCTCCTACCGATGGAGAACCCACAAGGGACTCTATAAAGGGCTCTTGTGTCCCCCATAAGGGAAGAAGGGCAGCTTTTGTTTACAACAGATGGCACCCCAGATGGGACCTTCGGTTGGCCGGATTCTGGGGGCAAGGAAGGACTGGTGATCCAGCGCGCACCAGGCCATTTGCCAGGAGGAGCCACCAGTCCTCTAGTGACCCCAGGGTCTGGAAAGAACTGGAGTTCCAGCGGGGCTAACCAGAGGAAGCAACGCTTGATCAGGCCGGCCACAAAATGATTTATTTTTAAAATAATCTTTATTGATTTAAACTACACACATATACAAAGAATTTGGAATCTCATATTGCAAAAAAAGAAAATTAAAGAAAAAACAATGAAGAAAAAAGGAAAGAAGAAAATACAGAAAAACAAAGAAGAAAAAGCAGATTTAAGTGCTTAAAAAAACTTAAACTTCCTAATTAAATAAAAAAGACTTGTGACAAAACGAGGCTTCTATTCATTCTCATTGTACTGTTTATACTGCCATTGTCCCCCCCCCCCAAGTTTTATATTCTTTAATATTGTTCCCGTCTACTCCACAAACAGTATTTGTTGTGTTTACAAGTATCACTCAAGTTCTGCTAATATGGAGTGGTTGGTACAATATGATCTTATATAATCCTTAAATATTCTCCATTCTCCAAATATTTTCCGGTTCAATACTCCTCTAACTCTTCCCGTCAGTTTTGCTAGTTGTAACTATTCTAACATGAGTATATGGCTTCTCTTGGTGATGTCCACAAGGGTTTTTTGGCTCAAGTAGTCCTTTACATTTATTCCAGATTTTATATCACGATTTTCTTATCACATGGCTCAAAAATCCCCTGTGGACCTTCACTTTTCCGTACATTAAAGAAGCGTGCCATCCAGACCGATTCTCGTGGCCTTCCAAGTCTAATAGGTCCATATCTTTGAGTGTAATCCAGTCATTGATCCAAACCAATCCTGCTGCCGCATGGTAGAATTCCAAATCTGGCAATGCAAAACCTCCTCTCTCCTTTTGATCTGTTAATAACTGGTGTTTAATTCTCAGTTTCTTGGCACTCCATATAAATCTAGATATTTCCCTTTTCCACTCCTTAGAACAATTCATTTCTCCTAAAATGGGCCTTGTTTGGAATAAGAAAATCATTTTGAGGAGGATATTCATTTTCACAACCGAGACTCTTCCCCAGAGTGAGAGATGGAGTTTGGTCTAGGTTTCCATATATATTTTTTAAAAAATTTCTTTCCATACTTTACTAGAATCATCCTCATATAAATTTAAACTTTTATTTGAAATCCAGATCCCTAGGTAGTTAACCTTATTTTTAATTTCCTGACCTGTATTTTCTTGAAGTTCTTTTTTTTTCTTCCATTGTGAGGCTTTTTGTCAGTAATTTAGTTTTTTGGAAGTTTATTTTCAGCCCCAGGCCGGCCATAAATTAATCTAGCAAAAGACCCCGGGGTGGCCAGGAGCAGCGCATGTGGACGTGAGTCTAGGAATGGAGAAGATTGTGGGCGGGATTCTCTGAAACACCCACAACCCAGATTCTCATCCTTTGCTTTCTCTTTTGCTGACGGTCTTCACTCCCACCCTTCCTGGCAAGAGGTAGCTAGGAGGGGGAGGGGAGAACGGGAGAATTGGGGTTCTGCAATTAGAGAGGCAATTAACTGCAAGGGAGAACGCTAATCAAAGCTCTCATTCCCTGTTGGGGAACCTGAGATCTGAAACTTTTCCTTTTTCCCAAGGAAGACGCCCCAAGGTTGGTCCAAGTGGACAGTTTGGATAGCAAGGGACTTGGGCTCGGTTTCCAATTTCTCTTTTTCTCGTAAATGCAGCTGCACCGGCAGCACCAAGATCCAGGAGGAAGTGACTGGTGCACGTCAGAGCGCAAGGGCGTTTACAGTTCCTTTCCGTTCTCTCTGGAGCAGCCGGATTTGGCACTGGGCTGCCAGGTGTCCAATGGAAAGGGACTCTTTTCCCTAGAGTGTAAGAGGCAGAAAAGGTTGCTGGGACCCCATGGGATAAAGAGGGAGAAGGACTTTGTAGAGTCCTTCATAGAGAAGAAAAACGACTGTCAGTTTGGAAAAGACCTGGGAAAAGGCTAGTGGGTTTTTGTTTTGGTTGAAAAATGGGACCCCCACATTCTAAGAGTTCTAACCGCCAGACCCAAAGGCATGTGCTGGTCGCAGCAGGAGGGGGGTCTCCCTGGATGCTTCAGCAGCCGGCCTCCTCTGGGTCTCCAGGCCCCCTCCTCTCCCCCTCTGAGCCTGAACTGCTCTCTGCCCCAGACTCCTCCTGCTCACCAAACCCTGTTTCCTCCTCAGCTTGCAACACCTCCCCTCCCACTCTGCTCCATTTTCTCCCTCTTTTGGCTCATTGTCATCCCACCACCAGGAAGGCAGCCCTCCTTCTGAAACACCAAGAGAGTAAACAGACAGTTTACAGGGCAGAAAGTGGAGTCCCCTGAAGATCAGTATTGGGACCTGTGGCTTTTCAACTTGTTCATAAATGATCTAGACTTAGGAGGGAGCAGGGAGGGGGCAGTTTGCTGATGGCAGCAAATTGCCCAGGTTTGTTCAAAGAGCTCCAAAGGGACTTCTCCAAACGGGGTGAATGGGCAGAAAATACAGTTCATTATCAATAAGATTAAAGTGATGGATGTTGGGACAAAAAACCAAACACCTGTTAATATCATATACAGGATCATGGGGTCTGAACTGGATATCCCTGTGTGCTCTAGACCAGTGTTTCCCAAACTTTTTTGGGCAACGGCACACCTGTTTACTGAAAAAAAATCTCGCGGCACACCACCATTAAAGCCCCGCCCCATGACGTCAGCGCGCAGCGTCACGCCGGGAGGGACGCACGAAAGTGAAAGTTTTTTCCCTCCCCCCTCAGTCCCTCGCTCGGAATTCAGCTCGTTTGGGGCATCGCTCCGGCTGCTCCCTCTCCCGCCGCGCAGGAGCGATGCCTCTCTCTGGCTCTCCCTCCGCGCAGGCTGAGGGAGGGAGGGAGGTGCGCGTGTGACCCGTCTCTGCTGGGAGACCAACCCCAGCGAGGCAGAGTCGCGCGGAGGCGCCCAGGCAGCGCTGCCGGCTGCGAGGAGGAGCGCCAGGCAGCAGCAGGAGGCGCGGCCTCTCCTCGCCGCCGCCGCCCCGCCTCTCGCCGCCCGACTCGCCCGCAGCCCTCCAGGCATCTCGCGGCACACCAGCCGATGTCTCACGGCACACTCGTGTGCCGCGGAACACCAGTTGGGAAACACTGCTCTAGACCAGGGGAGAGGGGAGCTGGTCGCAGCAGGAGGGGGGGTCTCCCTGGATGCTTCAGCAGCCGGCCTCCTCTGGGTCTCCTGGCCCCCTCCTCTCCTCCCTCTGAGCCTGAACTGCTCTCTGCCCCAGACTCTTCCCGCTCACCTAACCCCGTTTCCTCCTCAGCTTGCAACATCTCCCCTTCCGGTCTGCTCCCTTTTCCTCCCTCTTTCACCTCATCCCATCACCAGTCAACAGGATCTGAGCCTTCTTCCGTTGTGGGTCCCCCAGCTTGTGCCTCTCCCCCCTCACCAGCCAGTCCATGACAACAGCAGCAGCTACAGCACTGTGGTCCTCTGGTGGGAAAACTCCAGAGTACATGACTGAATCAAAAATTCTGGGACTATGGAAAAATACTATCTTCCTCAAACCCCAGAATGAGCAGAAGCTCTGGGGTTGCCCCATGGGGTTCATGAGAGAAGATGGGCCCCCAGGAGACTTCCCTGCTTCCTTGCAGCCCCTCCTTCCCCCTCTTGAAATTAGGCTGGGGGGGGAATCCCCCATTCAATTTCAGTATTTCAAGTTTTCTTCAGAACGGGCATGGCAGGAGGCAGCTATAACATTCTGGGGAAGAAGCAGTGTTTGGAGATCATGCGGTGGGAGAATGACAGAGTTTGGTGCAGAAACCAAAAGTACTTTCATCTTAAGTTATACTCACCATTGTGAGATGCTCCCTTCATTATTTCTTTATTATACAGTTTTACATATAAACATCAGAACTTCACATATACCTCATGCTTTTAGGAATGATTTCCTGCTGAGTTCATTGCTCAGAGTGGACTCTGAGAGGAAGACATCCCACACTCCATACATGTAAATCGGTTCTCCCATGTGAGAGTCCCTAGATGTTCCTTAAATACTCCATTATAAATAAAGCACTTTTTGCAGTCTTTTCATTTAAACTGCTTCTCCTCTCTGAGTTTGTTGATGGTTTGAAGGGTTTCAACTTTTAAAGTTCTTCCTGTCTATGAGTCTGTTGATCCAGAACTTCCACTAAGAGTGAACCTCTATCTACTTTCCTGATATTTATATGGTTTGTCTTTTGTGTGAGTCCGTTGATGATTTCTAAGGTGTGCATTCTGACTGAAGCTCTTTCCGCACTCCATACATTTAAATCGTTTCATACCGATGTGAGTCTGTTGATGTCTTCTCAGGTTTCCACTAAAACGGAAGCTTTTTCCGCACTCCATACATGTAAATGGTTTCTCCTCTGTGTGAATCCGCTGATGGGATCTAAGGTGTGCACTCTGACTGAAGCTCTTTCCACACTCGATACATTTAAATGGTTTCTCCCCTGTGTGAGTCCGTTGATGTGATCTAAGGTGTGCACTCCGACTGAAGCTCTTTCCACAATCCATACATTCACATGGTTTCTCCCCTGTGTGAGTCCGTTGATGTTGTCTAAGGCTTCCACTTTCACTAAAGCTCTTTCCACACTCCATACATTTAAATGGTTTCTCCCCTGTGTGAGTCCGTTCATGTCTTCTAAGGCTTCCACTTTCACTAAAGCTGTTTCCACACTCGATACATTCATATGGTTTCTCCCCTGTGTGAGTCCGTTGATGTGATCTAAGCTCTCCACTCTGACTGAACCTCTTTCCACACTCGATACATTTAAATGGTTTCTCCCCTGTGTGAGTCCGTTGATGTTTACTAAGGCTTCCACTATCACTAAAGCTCTTTCCACACTCCATACATTTAAATGGTTTCTCCCCTGTGTGAGTCCGTTCATGTCTTCTAAGGCTTCCACTATTATTAAAGTTTTTTCCACACTCCATACATTCATATGGTTTCTTCTCTGTGTGAGTCCGTTTGTGCAATTTAAGGTTTCCACTCTGACTGAAGTTCTTCCCACACTCCCTGTACTTAAAATGTTTTCTCTCTTTGTGAGTCCGCTGGTGTGTTCTAAGTTTTGCATTGAAAGAGAAGCTGTTTCCGCACTCCATACCTTTAAATGGGTTATTTCCTTTTTGTGTTCGTTGATGTGAACTATGTGTGCTCGTTCAGTGAAGCATATTCCACATTTCACACATTTTAATGGCGCCCTGTCACCTGCAATTCTGTCTTCTCCATCACCTTTTTCAGAGTGGGCATAAAGGAAATCCTGTTTGGGTTTCAGGAAAGAGAACACAGGAAAAAAAGGACACATCAACCGCCATTAGCACCTTCTCTTATTTCAACATCTCCTACATTCTCCCATGTCCTACCCATGTTCCCAATTTTTAGGAAATGAAAATGGTATTTTGTCAAATGGTAGTAATGCATCAGGAACCTTTCATAATCCTCAATCATCTTTAATAACACAGCATGATTTCTGACATTGAATTATATATAAATTGCAGTACTGAAATGCACCTGCTCCCGCTTCCTATTCTGATATTACTCTACTCTGTTTGTTTGTCTGTTTCTTACTTGAGTGCTGTTTTGGCCCCTGCATTGGCCCTGTGGAACTGAAGGAGCATCTTCACCCCCATCGTTCAGTCCGGACAGGGAGGTCCTCCTCCGAGGGTCTTCTGCTGTTTCCCTTGCTGTTAGAAGTGAAGTTCCAGGGAACCAGGCAGAGGGCCTCCTGCCCCATAGAATGCCCTCCCTTCAGAGGGCAAGGAAGTAGGCAACCATCTGTCATTTAGAAGACAGCTGTATCAGGAGGTTTTTAATGTTTGATGTTTTACTGTCTTGTATATGTACTGTACTGTCGGGAAGGTAAACGGCATTTCCGTGCGTTGCTCTGGTTCGCCAGAAGCAGCTCAGTCATGCTGGCCACATGACCCGGAAGCTGTACGCGGGTTCCCTCAGCCAATAAAGTGAGATGAGCGCCGTAACCCCAGAGTCGGCCATGACTGGACCTAATGGTCAGGGGTCCCTTTACCTTTACCTATATGTACTGTAAGCTGCCCAGAGTGGCTGGGGGAAAAGACGAATACTATAACTTTTACAGTGGTACTTCGTGTTACAGACGCTTCAGGTTACAGACTCTGCTAACCCAGAAATAGTACCTTCTGTTAAGAACTTTGCTTCAGGATGAGAACAGAAATCGCACGGCGGCAGGAGGAGGCCCCATTAGCTAAAGTGGTGCTTCAGGTTAAGAACAGTTTCAGGTTAAGAACGGACCTCCAGAACAAATTCAGTTCTTAACCCGAGGTACCACCGTACTATTATTATTATCATGTGATTTTTTGTAGTTATTTTGGAATTCGTACTGCAATATCAGCTCACGAAATGTTATGGGTGGAGAAAATCACAGGGTTGCCGTAAACTATAATCCCACCCACAAACTCTCATTCACATACAGTCTGTAAATTTGGGGAGGTCACACACCTCACCTGTGCTAATACTCGCAGTCTTTGGCCTCCACAGGCACACCCGGTGTGTAGAGCCTCCAGCCCCAGGCACTGTCTATCATGAAAATGGGTCCTTTGACTGGGAAGATTCATGCAGTCACTGTCATAGGATGCTGATGGGTTGTATCCCAGCTTGTCAGTCACTCTGACATTGCCTAGAAAGAATAAGAGGAACAGAAATGCTTTTTACGGAAATGACTGGCAGAATCTGAGACCAGGGAAAAGAGTTGATGGAAGAATATTGGAAAAAGTTTAAAGACTATCTACAGAAATATTGCAAAATTAATGAATGCCAGAATGATGTTGGATAGAAACTAAGTGGTCTTTAGCTGTAATGTTATAAGGGAATATGAAAAAATGGATTATTAATAGGTAAAAAATTAATGTTACAATACTTTATGATTAAAGACTAGGATATACAAAGAGGGGAGGGATTTGCTGAACTAATAATTTGAACCGGAATACAAAAAAGGGAGGCGTGAGGAGGTCCGGGAAACAAGCAAATGAAAGATAAGTAATGGAAAGAATGAATTGTTTTTAACCATTTTTATTTTGTATTTTTCTTTTTTCTTTTTCTTTATTCTGTAATATTCTGAAAATCTTAATAAATATCTTTTAAAAAAAAGAAAAGAAATGCTTTTGAGGTGGAACTTCTATATCAATCCTGAGAGCCATTCCATGGACTCTGCACCCCTGTTTCTGATGACAGGTGTACATTATCCTCATCAGTGGAAAAGACGCTTAAAGATGGAAGCCTGAGAGAGAGGAAAAGGTTTCTGGCTGCTTCCTGGGTGGGATTGCGGAAACCAAGAGCCGCTTCTGAGAAGGCCTCTCCCCTCCCCTCTTCCTCTGGGGATTTCCTCTCCTCTCCAGGGGACCAATGGTTGGACTGGGCAGAAGCGCTATGTCAGGACAGGGCAGGGGCTTATGGGGTGGGAAGAGGATGGAGCTTGCAGGAAGGAAGGGGTGGGGGCAGGACCCCCACTTTTCAGGGATCCCTGGGCGGGAGGGAGAAGCCAAGGCGGCCCCTTCGAAGATTACCCAAGGAAGACACGATTGAGACGCCCCCCCAAAAAACTGGTCTTCCTATCTCCCC